GTGATGCTCTGAGTGTTTTGCCAGCACTGCCATGTTTGATTCACTTATCCTTGTTCGACTTGAAACTATCCCAACGTGCAACGTGACCTCAACCTAATTTGTTCGATCAAATTTCCAGGAAACTGGCCTCCACAGGATGTTCAAACATAGCCCTTCAGCTTACAACAAGGTGTTCAGGGAACTGTGCTTCTGTTGTTATCAGACCAGACCTGGAATCCAAGCATTGCCAGTGGTTCCGGGCCGGCCTTGGTCAGCGCTTTGATCTCATCCTCGCAGCCTGAGGCAGCCAGGAGTGACTTGACTTGCTTCTGGAAGGGTCTGTTAGAACAATATAACTTAACAGTTTCTAGATTCCATTCAGTCATTGGCCTGCTAGTACACACTTTGCAACATTTCTGATGCAAGCGGTTGTCAACTTGTGGGGAGTGCAAGTCTAGCCAAAACCTGGTGGCAGCCACTGAAAGCACAACCGCCTGTGCCACATCGATGGGTTAATGGAACACAGGATGTTTATCACACAACACCTTCTTAGTGAGTTGGGTCTTGGCCCTTATGATTGAAGCCCGTTTTTTGACATTTGGAATTGCAGGCGTGCTTCATCCTAATACTGATTGGGCCAGAAATGGTTCAATATTGCCGGGTCGGCCGCGCCAGCCGCTGTGTTCATTGGCAAATGAGTTGTTAAAAACTTTCTACATCTGGTTGTTTGCTCAGCTATTGTTCACTTGTCTGGCACTTGGCCAGTTGCGCAGTGGCGGACAGTACAGCGCCGCTGGCTAAGACAAAAACCAAGTGTTGGCTCGGCTTGAGAAAAAGAAAGGGTACCATTGAATGCGACGTGCTTGATTCTGCTTGACATCAGACACAGGACAAGAAAGAATCTAGCAGTCTCGTCCAAAAAGAATCAGACATCAGTGGATCTAGGTGGTAAGGCTTGCGTAAAAAATGGTCTGGAGTTAGCTGATGAGATGCTATGGATTGGGTTCAACATGCTGGAGCAAGTGTGGTTGAGTTTATTATTAATGCTGCGCTGGTTACCGATTGCGCACGACTCATCATGTGTGTCCGTGTAGCATTTTTAGCCTCACTGACTGCTGTCCCTAAATTCTTAGATAGATTGCCTCGTTGCAATGCAAACCCCGTCTCCAACAAGGTCCAACTCAAGGTCCCTTCGTCAGAAAAGCCCAGCAGACAGCTTGTCAATCTCGGCCTCTACCCCTTCCAGTGGAGAGAAGCAAAAGAGCATGGACCGACAAGAAGATGAAATTGATTCAGATTGGCTTGCCCCATTCACTTGTGAGGATGGACCGTTTGAGAGCCCAAGCCCTTCACTCAAAAGGTCTCCCAAAGCAGTGACGCCAGAAAGCATGATTGCCCAGCAGTCAGCTGCATTTGCTGCAGCGTTGGAGCAGCAGCAACAAACTGCAGGACTTGCTCAGGCAGCATCCAATGAAAAGGCGGCAAGTGACACACCAACCCAGCCAGCCAAGATCCATCCGTTCTTTTCACAAGAGGCTTGTCGTACCCCACCGCCGGTGCAAAGGCTCCCACGTTTCAAGATGAGCCAGATGAGTCAAAAGAACCAGTACAAGGCCAAGGGTGCAGGAAAGGGCTCCGGAAAGGCCTTGGGAAAGGGCGCCAAGTCAGCTGACATCCGTGACGTCATCAAGGGCATCAGCTTAAAGTCTGAGGCACCCTGCGCTTCGCGTTTGCCATCCTCAAGCTCAGCAAGTCCGGGCGATGAGAGCTGAAGGTTGTTTTAGCAGTGCTACATACTGTGACAAGCTCGCTGATTCAAAATCACGGCTAACTTGCCTTTCAGCAGTGAATCTGTTCGGTAGTTGTTAAATGATTTCAGAGGTGGGTGCTACATTTTTTTATTGATGGCAGGGCAGTGATTAGAATGGCAGTGGCATTTTTGGCTGGGTGGCTGCAAAATGCGCCAGCAATGAGAACAAATGTTCGAAGCACTTGTGCCACAAATACTTGTGCTTTGGCATTTTTTAATTGAGCTTGTTCCAGAATAGCATGTTGCTACAACCGTGATTAAACTGGCAGTCCAGCTTGCAGCTTGCACGACAGTTTTACCACGGCTTCCTTATTATTGGTCCTTGTCAACTCAAAGAGTTCGACGCAATTGTTCAGTGCAGTCAGTGTTGCTGAACAGAATTGAGCTGCGAGCCGGGATGTTTGCCACATAGAGAAAACCTGGTTTCTCCCAGACTCAGGGTGAGAATAGCGCTTGAAGGTTGCAAAATTGTCAAGCGACGGACTGGTGCACATCAGGCTTGAAAGCTGGTCAAACACATTATGACATTGGAAGTGCAAAAAAAAGGGTAAGTGACTCTGGTCACTGTGTAAGATTGGTGACAATGAGAATAACATTGACCACAACAAGGCTGATCTTCAGTTTGACCTCCAGGGTTCTCTGACAAAGCACTTGCGTGACATGGACACTTTGCATGACTTTACATCCTGCTTTGGATTGGTTCAACCTCATGCTACTGAGCGCGCAGCCAAGGCATTGCCAAGCAAGGCGACTCTGACGATCGACCTTCTCGAAGCGACCTTGGGCAGCTGGAAAGTTGAACGCTTTCTGTTGCCACCAAACCCACTCAACTGGCAATGCCACTTGATCTTGCGGTTGCTATTTTGAATGCTTTGGTTGAACAGCATGTTTATTGGCAGGGCACATGCTTTGGAACTCCACATCGTGGGACTAAGGAACTTGGGTGACACGCATGAGTTGGACCCGGCGTTGGAACTGCCAGTCCGAAAGAAAAAGACCGTGCAGGGAATGATTGCCGCTTGGGCGAACCAACATTCAATTGAACGTTTGAGTGCAACAATTGGAATGTCACATCCGTCAATGACTTGTGTTCTGATTGATGAGTGCTAATATTCTTGACACCTGATCAACTAGCAGACCTTGTAAGTCAATGGTAGGGAGGACCTGCCACCTCAAGATTGACGAGCTTTGAACTGCTTCTTGAGCTAAGGCACTTGCGCAGGCCCTCAATGCAAACCTCAACCTTGTGTGGGGAAAAAGCTTGCTTGATTTGCTGCTAGGTTGCAACCAAGGTCTGCTGTAGCATTGAGGTGTTTGATCTCAGGATCTTACTACAGCATGAGGTTTGAATTAAAGATTTCCTGATAGACAAATAAACAGAACAGAATCCATAATTTGCTGCTATCTTACCAAGGTTGCCACGACACCGCCTGCTACCTGGACAACCACTGCACGCAGGGCTGTTAGACCCCCCTGAGGTCATTCAACGACCATTGCTCACGATTGAAGCCAGGCTGCATTTTTAACACTTTGTAGCTTGTTTGCTGGCAAGCAAGGGGTCATCAAGGTCATGACAGTTACAGTTCTTGTGAGGGTGTAGCACAGCCTGGTCCGGTTGCTTGTGAACAACCTATATTTCAGGTAGCCGACGAGGAAGCACTGCCGTTCAAGACCCTGTATGCTCTTGGGCATGAACTGGGACTCCGGGTGTATATTCAACCGGAGAGTTGCCACAGTACGTGGAACGATCTTCGGAATTCAATTCGCAGGTGCGGCCTGCAACACTGCCTCCTCCTCTCTGCAGTCATGGCAAATGTCATGCATGGGCCGTTCAAGAGTGGCCGCAACATGCTGTCGGTGCAGGAGTCAGCGTCTCACATGGTGAGGCACATGTCTCGTGGGGCGTTTGAGGAACTGCAAGATGGGATGCTGGCAGACTTGGGGGCTGATTTTAGTGTGGGGGATGTGCTTCTTCCTGCAGAACCTGCTGACATCTTGGAACATCCTGCGCTTCACAAGCTGCCAGAATACGAGCCCTGTTTGAAACACATGAAGGCTCTACTGCCTTGATCAATTCAGAGTGATGTCCTCAACACAAATACCACTCTTGTGAGTTCCCTAGTCATAATTTTCCTGAGACAAAAAGTCTAAAGTTGCTGCTTAGCTTAACTGAAAGAGATCGAGCTTGATGTTGACGACAATAACAACCCGTGCAATAAGTTTGGTCCAGGTGAAAACCAAGAGTTGGTTTACTGCGGTGGATGTCATGGACCACCTTTGCAGCAACTGGACGCTGCTGTCCACGCTTGTCGACCACTGCGTCGCTGCTGACAAAGCGGGTTGGCTTCAACAGTCAACAGTGTTACTCTGGTATTTCAACAACTTGCTTCATTCATTTTATTAAATCTGAAAAGGGGTGCAACAATTATTATCGCAAGCTTATACTGACGCCCTGTGCCCCAAACTGAGGCTGCCGGCGATGATGCCCAAATGGCTGCTTCTGCTTCCTCTTCCGAACACGAAGAAGATCCTGAGCCGGGAGAGCAACAGAAGCTGCCTGGAACGAAAGCTGAAGTGCAAAAGCTCAGGGAGAGCTACGAGAACACAATGGTCCTAGTGGGTCATTTTTTCCATGATCGGTCACTTCAAGATGACCTGCGGTGCATCAGCCTTGCCAGTGAACCATATAGAAAAGAGTACACCCAGATGCTTCTGCAGCAGAAAACTCAGGAGCCAGCCAACGCGAGCCAGTCAACTCTCATCACATTGCTCAGTGCAGGCGTTGACGTGTCTTTGACTCAGCTTTTGCTTTCGGAATTCGTTCTTAATCTGGCTGGATTTGAGTTGACAACTACCAACCAACTTCATGGTTATAATTTTGGACACTGACTCAGCTTAGGCCCCAAGAAAACAATCGTTAAACTGTTTGAGAATGATGTCAACGGTCTAATTTGCGTTGAACATAAAGCCTACTTGGGACTGAGAGTTGTGCTACTTCCGGAACCATCTTGGGACACAACTCAGGCAAAGTCATCAATTTGTTTGCTGGTCATTATCTGTTCTTACACAAGAAAGGTAAACGTGTCCATTATGCTGCTTCCAGGAGGGAAGCATCCAGTGGCAAGCCGGCAGGGCATCAGGTGCTTGGTTTCAGACAGTGATGCAAAGCTTGAGCCGCGTTCATGATCGAAGCGTGCTGCAGGGATTCAACATGAGTCTGAGCTTCTCCTATGGCGGTGCAGGAAGTATCCCTCAAGACAGCCCCATCAAACAAGAGCCGTGGTTTCAGGAGGAAAAAAAGAAGTTGAACAACTTCTGGTCACTGGTTACCGAGCATGCTGCAGCACGTTGTTGGAGTCAATCGTTCTTCACAATGTGCCAGCCAAACTCTGTGGCAGCTTGTTTGCACAAAGACCCTGAAACTGCAAAAAGAGCTCTTCGAATGCAGAAAAGGATCTGGGAGGCAGTCTTAGCAGCTGAGAAGGCAGTTGATTCCAAAACCACACCCGGCCCCATCAAGACGGAGCTTGAAAAGCGATTGGTTGACATTAGTTGGCACCGCCTACAAATTTCCAGAGAAATCTGCGCAATGTGTGAGCACACAGGGTGGACAGTGGAAGCAGTGCGTGAACAAGCGCTGTACCTGTTTGGTGGACCAGCTAACACCAAGTATGACCTGGAAGACCTGTTCGCCCATCTTCAAAGCGTGGCCCGTGCAACGAATCTGCCCACAGCAATGAACAAGTGCCTTGGGTTGCCAAACTTAGTTCGCAAAGCAAAGGCGTTGTAGGGATGTTATTAGTATATGGGCAGCCCTGGCAACGCAATGACTGACTTCCCATGACCTGTCAACTAAGGTGGACCAGATACTTCTACTGCACAACACTCCCTTCTCTTGCTGGCCTTGGGTGGCCTCAACTTGCACCAACCCTGGATGACCATTACCAAGCTAGCAGGTGTGAAGGATCCAAGAAAGAACTTGCAGGCTTGGCAGGAAAGGCGTTCAAGTCTACAAGCTTCCCACTGCCTGCAGAGATTAAGAGCAAGCTTGTACGAATGCGGTTGGAAACATCCAAAAAAGCAGGGACAGCCTCAAACCAAAGGGCTGCTGCTGCAACAGCCTGGGTGTTACAGAACTTCACCTCTGGGTTCAAGAAGGCTGACTTGGCTTGGACAGGACTGCTTGGTTTGTTTCAGATTTCCGAACTTCAGTTGAATGGAATTGGCAAACATGTAGTAGTATTGTTGTAACGCGGTCGATCCCACTACTTGTTTAGGGCCTGTGAATGAATCTCAAGACAACTTAGCAATGTCGTAAGTCGAACTTGTTGGTAACATTACCCTGATTCCTACAGGATGTTTTTTCAGCAAGAGCTGGGTGTTCCAGAACAATGTGACGAAGACTGTTTGCCTATCCTTGGGATTTCGCACCACTGCTGCTTTGGGCATTCGATTGAAACGTATCGAATGTGGTGACATGGCCGCTTTCCTGCACTGTGTATTTTCTGTGAATAATGCTTGCCAACCCTCTCTGCAAAATGACGGTTTGTGGAACTGTTTGTTGACTTAAAGGTGTAGTTGACTATTGAAGTTAAACTGGTTGCCGGGGTTTCTGAGAGGCTCGAGTTTTTTTCTGGTTCCCGTTGTAAGGTGTACTTCATTCTCGACACCAGCGATGCTTCAAAGAGCCCGGTTTGGATGTTCAACGATGACTTACGTGATTCTTCCTGGCGACACATTCCCGCAGAAATCCAGCACCCATGGGAATTGCCAATGATGATGCAGCAACATCACACTGCACTGTTGCAAACAGGCCCTCCCCAAAAAGTGATGGACGCTGGTTTGGAAGCCGGTGTTTTCCTGACTTTGAACCAGTTGAAGCGAATGAGGGGAATCCTGCACTTCTCTCTTCCAGGGAAAGGTTGTGGCTCAGGCAAGTCTGGGCGGGTCACCAAAGAAGACTATGCAAAAAGTTTGCTGAAGCAAACGTTTCCGGACAAGCCTGAGCAGGAGATTACCCGAATGCTTCAAGCAGTGATGGGTAAACAATGGAAACATTTGGAGATAAACCCTTTGCATGCTGGTGTCATTGTGTCGGCCTTTCGAAGTCTGAATCCCGAAGACCAAGCTAGCTTTACAAAGCTTGCTGCCGTGGCGGTGGATGAGGAGAAGTTGCAAACAAAACGGCTGGACAGGGCTGATGGCCCCCATTTATCCAAGCTCCATGAAACCCCAAGAACCCTCTTCCATCTTTTGCCAAAGCTGGGGAATTGTCGCATTACGCGGCATCCTGTCCTGAAAAGATACCAGTGTTTCTTCACGGCACCACCCACATCGGAAGATGCGCCCAGCCCCCCAGCTTGAGAGCTGTATTCTTGTATTTGTTTTTACGGCTTGTTGGTATGTCAATGGTTCTACTTGTTAGTAACTTAGTATTTATTTCAATGAAAGATGTTGTTTGTTGATACTGTATCAATACAGTTTATTTGTTTTTTTTTTACGCTTGCCCGACGCCAACTCATGATCGCCAACTAAGGTCGCACATACAGCCACGCAACCTGGTGGGATGGGAAAAAAAAGCAAATGACCGAGGAGGAAGCCCTCAAGGAGGTGATTAATTGGATTTGGGATGAACGCTGCAAAACAGAGGAACCATTCCAATGTGACGAAGTCCCGCCTTGCCCTTAGAAAGGTTGGGCTTGAAGCCAAGGTCGCGTTGTACTATTGGCACTTCAGACTCTCACAAGTTTAACGTCTTCTGTTTATTTTTTTAGCAAAAGTTGCGCAACTCAGGCCGAATGATGATGACTTTCGTGGTGTTATCAAATCGTTTGATGCTGCTACTGGATTCATTTCACCGCCAACTGAACCTTCAAAGATGGAGTTTGTGACAAGTGATCCTGTGTCAGAAAGCAAAGCATCGTCATCGAAGCCTTCAAAGAAGGAGTCGGTGACAGATGTTTCTGTGTCCAAAAGCAAGGCATTGTCATCGAAGCCTTCAAAGAAGAAGGAGTCGGTGACAGATGTTTCTATGCCAGAAAGCAAAGCGTTGTCATCGAAACCTTCAAAAAAGGATTTGGTGGTAGATGATTCTGTACCAACAAGCAAGGCAATGTCATCGAAACCTTCAAAGAAGGATCTGGTGGCAGATGTTTCTGTGTCCAAAAGCAAGGGAAGAGGCCGCAAACGAGGCCGATCTTAACACCAATGCTTGCTGCGCGGACCAAAAAAGGGAGAAGGGCTGAGGTGTCCTGGGAACATTACGACCATTACCTTTGAATTGGGGGGTCGGTTGTTGGGGGGTCACCTTAGGGACCCCTGACCCTAAACCCTAAACCCTAAACCCTAAACCCTAAACTCAAAACCTAACTTACTGTCGAGTTTCACACAGAAAAACATATTATATATATATACGGATATATATATATATATATGTGTATCATAAGAATGAGAGAAATCGGAAGAGCAATTAAACCACAAAGATATGGGAATACACAGAATCACCGTGTGGTTACTGTAGAGGAGACATACGCAGAAACAAAATAACATTACAAAACATGAGAAACCACAAACCTAGGCACCCCTGTTCGTCCACTCCTCGTTGAAGCTAAGCTGAATCTTCGGCAGGAGGTCCTTGAGAAATGCCAATGGCGATCATTAAAATTGCTTCTTCATTGCCAAGGTTGATTTGAGTGTCTTTTTTGAGGGTCTTTCTTAAGGGTCTGTTTTGAGGGTACCTTTTTGGGGTGCTTTAAAGGAACTAAGCAAAACCATGATTTAATCTCTTTTTAGATCCCCCCAAAAGATGGCAACGGATTTCTCTTGTGTTTTCCTTCAAACCCAACCAACAAGGGTACCCCCAAAAAGGCAGACCCTTTTCTTGTGTCGGCCAAAGTGGGGGCCCTGCTTTGAAGCCACATATCATCTGGGTGAATAGTACCAAACCAGAA